CTATACCAATCGAATTACCAACCATACCATACCAAAGTTGTGCCAAAAAATTTGTACCATGGGTAATGGTACAGTATTTGTATCGTACCATACATTTTTTGTACGGTAATAGTATTCAAAACCATTACCAATGGTATACCGTACCGTACCACTACTATTAATATTATATAATTTATTTATTCATTTATATATAATTAGGTATTATTATCATTATATATGCACTTATATATTTTTTTTCTAGTCATTTATCTCATCATCTCACCTTTAATCTCTACTTTTTCCAAAAAAAAAAACCTAAGCCTTTTTGTACTGCAACTTTTCATCTTTTCACTCATTTAGCCACCGACTTCATCTCTGTTGCTCCAGTTCCGGCGACTATCCTCTCTCCGAAGTCCATCTCATCTTCTCCTTCATCAAATTGAGATGTCTTTTCTCCCTGGCTTCGTCTATCAAGTTAGTTTTGTACAATTTTAAAGAATGTAGAGATGAAATTTAGGAATCTTTTGTACTAATTTTTTTTTAGGGATATTGGGTTCTTTCAGCAATTCTTTCATCTATTTACTTTTTGTTTCTTAAATGAATCTCTATAAAATTCTCATAATTAAATAAAAAAGTTTTAGATACTCAAAGGGAGTGGCCAAAACATGTTTGGGTGTTGAATTGGGTTGGAAAAAAAAAAATCAAATTTTGGCCCAAAAGAATGGCCCAAAACAAAGTAGTAATTATCATTACTATACCATGTCAATCGAACTATTTGGCATGCTGAAATTCAGTATACTGAAAGTTTGATACAATAATGGTAATAGATTTTGTCATACCAAAAGTTTGGTATGGTAATTGGTACATGAATTTTGGTACGATAATTGTACAGATACCACCCTTAAATCTAACAATCATATAAGGTAGAGGGTTGTACATTGTATGACACATATTCAGACATTTAGGACTCCCTGTGGAATCTGGATCCTCGCCAGATCCTCTTTGTGAGGATCCCAAGGATCCCCAGAATCCATGAATCATATCCATTCATTGTACATCGCTGATCACACGATGTACGATGAAGGAATACAATTTACAGATCTTCAGAATTCTCACCAAAAGGATCCGAAGAGGATCCTGTTGCCTCCCTGTGGATATTGAATCAGTCCATTTTGTTTTACCTTTTGGTCTATACAGTGACTCCATCTCCCCGTGTTTGAATTTTCTCATCACAAAGACAAGGTCAACAACAATATCATCATCTAATAACCCCAACACAAACACGTTTGAAATCAAATTCCTCCAACAAGTGAGCTGCAACTTCTGAAATGTTTTTTATTTTTTATTTTTTTATTTTTTTTATGGATCAGATGACACAGATCTCTCCTCCTCCTCTTTGATCGACTTAATCATCGCCGAAACTCGACTCATACTTGGCCTCTCATTTATGCACTGCATTGCTACCTGCAACAATTTCACCATCCTTTCTTCACTTGCACCTTCTTGGATCAAAGCCTCGTCAAAAACTTCGACAGTCCACTCCTCACTAACTACCGAGTGTGTACCCACCTGGGCAAATCCAAGCCGTTTTGCTGCACCAGCTTCCCTGTCAGAAGCTCAAGAAGTATCACACCAAATCCATAGACATCACCCCTTGAACGTGCTTCCTGCATGGCCAGCTTTCGAACTTTCAATCCCGCTGTTTGGCGAAAGGTGTGACTGGTCTTGATTTTCAATCTCCATTATTCCGTATTCACTGATGCAGGGCTCCATGGACATGTTGAACAAAATGTTCATGGACTTTAGGTTGCCATGAGCAATGCCATGTTCATGTAGCTCTTGGTGCATGAATGCCAATGACTCAGCTATGATTTCTGCAACACTTAGTCTGCTTCCCCAGTCAAATATTTTGTCCATTTGAAGATCCTGTGTGACACCGAAAAATCATGAGCAATTCGATTAAATTTACTTTATTGATCGTAAACAAAAATACATGCGGTAAGAAAAGCCTTTTCACAGGCGCTCCAGAGCGTGTGGAGAGGATAGTACAATAACCAGTTATGTTAGGAAATTTCCCGTCCCCAAGCCTTAGGATTTGAGATATATAGCAAAAAATTGATCACATCGAGCTTAGCTTACCATGAAGAAGGTTAAAGAGACTGCCATTAGGCTGATACTCATAAACCAAGAGCTTCTCTTGTCTGGAACAGTAGAATGCAACAGCTGGCAAGACATTTCGACACTTAACCTGATCGATTTGTGTCAACCGAGTCTTGAATTTTTCCCTCGAAATCCCACTGTTCCTGATCCTCTTCACAACCAAGTTAACCCCTCGATCAAGCATGATTTTGTAGAGGCTTCCATTCTTCCCTCTGACAAGCAATATAGCAGGAGCTCGGAGCAAATCCTCGAAACTCAACCCCCTCAGCAATGGATTTGTGAGAACTACGAGTGGTGGAGCCATTCCGCTTTCAACAGATGATAACGAGTACTCTGCCATCTTATGATGACCACCACCAGCCATCAACTCACCAGAAGAAATAGTAGTGCTAGGCACAGTGCTAGCAGCATCATTTGCCGCGATCTTTTTATTTCCGCCCTTTTCGTTGTCTTCTCTGATCTTCTTTTTTTATGGCAAGTTTAAAGAGAAAGAAGAAGCAAACGACAACCAGGCCAAGAACTATGCATACTGAGAAGAGTAACAGCTTTTCGGATGAGGACTTTTTCGATTTCTTTGGCATTACGGAAGTTGGTATTGCAGGAGGGCAGGCATTTTGCAGTGGCTTTCCACACAGCTTAGGATTACCCGAAAAGCTATCTTTTCCGAATAGGCCATTGACATCAGGGATAGAGCCACTGAAGTTGTTGTTGGAGACATTGAATTCCTTGAGGTTGAAGAAATCAAAATCCGGGATTTGCCCATCAAGCCGGTTGTTCTGAGCAAGAAAAGATATCAACCCTGAAATCTTTGCGAAATCAGGAAGCACACCATTGAAGTTGTTGTTGGAGATATCAACCCTTTTCAGATTATTCAAATGCGAGAGAGACTCCGGAAGCTCACCTGAAAAGTCGTTCCCACTTATGTACAAGTGAGTTAAATCTCTGCAATTGCCAATGTCTTCTGAGAGCAGACCAGTTATGTTGTTCTTCTTCAGGCTCACAACACCAACAGACTTCACCATGCAGAGAGAGTTTGCATCAAGAACTCCCGTTAAATTCGAGGTTTCGAGGACTATTTTCTTGACAGAATTCTTTCTGTCACACGTCACACCTTCCCATTTATCTATGCAAGGATCCGAGCTCATGTTCCAACCCCAATTTCCGTCTCTGGACGTTGCATTGGCCGGTGAGAGTTTGTCCATGAGTTGCACCAGGGCTTGCTTGATCTGAGTCCACTCTTGATCTTCTGAATCCGCCATTGGAATGATAACGAGAATGATCAAAATGGCGAGTGCCCAAATGGAAATCCGATCCATTTTTTGTGTATTTTTTTTATGTATAAATTAGAGTCTTTTTTGTGTGGGAAATAAATGGCTTTGAGATTTGGTGTATCTTCCTTATGAAGTAAGATTTATTGATTGAAATTGCAAGAACAAGAAGAAAGGAACAAATGGAAATGTTGAAGTTTGTTGATGGAACCACTTGGTGCCAATTGGATAAACACCGACAGAGAGTTTGAAAATTTCTGTGTGTGTTTGTAAAGCTCATAACAAATTGCACTAAATTCTACCAATTTTAAAAAGAATATTTGCCGGCAGTTTTAAACGGTCAATTTTTTGATGGCATGTCTTTTTCAATAGCCTTCCTAGAAAGAACACGGTTATTTGTACTTCGGACACATGTATATATCACTTATGAGTCGAGATCCTCACCAAATCATTGTGTTCAGAGCTCAAGAATTTGGAGATTCAGCCGTTGAAGAGAGAGAGAGATTGGTCTTTTGGTTTACGTAATGTGGGCCACTGGGATGAACTAGTTAGGACCAGAAGATTTAAAATAAGTAGTTTAAATCTTCCAGATACAGAAATCCAGAGAGGATCTCAATTACATCACTTATTAAAACCCGATCAAAAGTTTATGCACATATCAAACTATCATTGTTTGTAATGTAGAATGATTTATTACATGTAAGGAGCCAAATATTATTTTTTCCGGGATTAATGATGGTACCATGGTCCTAGTATTGACATATGTTCATCAAGTATTGTTTGTTATAGTGACTTGTAAAGACCCTCCAAATCGGATTACTTCCCTAATTTCTGAACTAGACAATACTAATTTCCAAGTGCCAAGGCTGTAACTTTCAATTAGTTTTAATGTTGTTTTATAATTTGCTTAAATATAGGTATAAGATTGTGATTTGTGACCGACTAGGTTAAGTTGAAGACAAGTCAACCATGGATGAGCATGGCAAATGGCACACATCAAGGCATCACTCTCCCTTATTGTGTTGCCTCCGTTGTTCCGACCCCTTCTCCTCCGTCGACACAACCCTGTCACCTCTGTCGACTCCGCCCCCAACTCGTCCCCTTGTTTGTCGTGGTACCCATGGCAGCGGGGGGAGGAAGGTGGCAGCGAATCATGGAAGGTTTTATTTTGATTGACATGGAAGAAGATGAGGCTGATCAATTTGCAACGGCACGGGTAAGAGAAAACTGAAAAAAAGAGGTGTTTGGTTATGATTAGAAATTGGAATTGGTGTTTGATCATGAATATTAAATGGACAGGTGTTGCAATAGTATTGAGTCACGTAATAGGTCGTATATTTTAGAAATAGTGTGTATCCAAGTATAGTCATTTCTATTTTATACACGCGATGAGAGTGGAGCCAAACACAAAATCTCGAGGGCAGATCCAAACAGAGAACCTCAAGTTCATCATATACAACGTTACTTAACTTGTCCCCAGAGTAACTCAAATATATTTTTCGACCAAAAACAAACGCTATACATTCTGCTTGGCATGCTTTTGTTTGTCTATATGCATCTCAAGGAATTTGAAAGAAACACAAAAAATAGTTGTGTCTGGATCATTTCTACATGTTCATCATTCAATGTGCTTCTTCATAACATTAAAATAGTTCAGTAACCAACAACAGAAGCAGATTATTCGACGAAATTCATAATTTTTACAAGAAATTTTAATCTGGTCGTACAAATTTAGGTAGTAAACATAATTCAAATCGTAAGCGAGTAATGGGGGATTATAATGTTTCCCCTCTGCACCTGCAGTTCACTATGGGTCTGCATGTCCAGCAATATCATCGTCGCTTGAATTGCTTTCCTCGTCGCTAATGTTCTCATCGCTCTCCTCGTCTGGTGTTGTATTGGTAATGTGCTCCTTCTTTGCATATCGCTCACAGTACTCTGTGTCCACAAATCACATTGGAAAAATGTAAACAGAAAACTTTACATGATAAAAATCCCGCGAGAATATAGAAGATTTTCTCACTAGCTTATGCTGTGGGAGCAACCAAGGAAGAATAGCTTCTAAGTTCTAAAAATACTCCGTGTAACATCTTCGAAGCTCAAGGAACTAACTTACTATGAAAATTCAGTGGAATCTTGTAATCAAGTATCAGTCCAAAAGCAATGAACAAGGCACTGGAGATAGACTAGTAATTAGTGAAGTCATGGTCCGTGGACCATCTTGCAGAAGTCACACTCACAGCTACGAGACGATATTGGGATTCCAACTCCAGACACACGGTCAAAGGAACCAAGAAAAAGTAGGGAGGGTATGGAACTATCCAATTACAATCAAGAGCTCTTTTCACACATACGCTCATCTTTGGAAGGTCCATCTCCTAATATCCCTATGTTATTTGTGAGAGAGTCTGTGGTGAGGTTTCAAAAATTTAGGCATTGTTTTTTATTAGTTTAAGCATATTACTGAAAGGAAGGTATATTAATTGCAGATGAAGTTTTACCTTTGACCTTCTGATTGTAGAGTTTTCGGTCCTTCATCATCAATGATGCTGCATCACCATTGAGTGGATCTGAAGGATTTGGATAAAGCAACAGTTGTGGAAGGAAAACTTCAAAAACGTTTAAAAGGTCTGCATCAAGAAGAAACATCACCATATATGTGAGAAATCCAAGAAAAACCAAATGAAGAAAGGAAAAAGAAAAATGAAACAGAATAGAACTGCGAAACATCACCGGCTCATGGAAGAGAGTATAATGACACAAAACCAACACTTCAACAGTGTATTGGAAAACAAGGGTCAGAATTTTTACTAAAATGGGATGATAATTACCAAACATTGGACTCCATGATTGGTTAATTACATCTAAGCAGACAGAACCAGATCTGCAATTATGGACCCAAAAAAAAAAAAAAAAACTGTCAGTACATACAAGTTAATAACCAATAAACAATTACTCAAAGTCCTGCTGCTGCCTGCAAAAGAAATTAATTAGAAACTATGTTTTCAAAACCAGAGACTTATTCAAGCATATGATAATCAACAGCAGTATTACAGCATCAAATTTCTAAATAAACTTATACTTCCGCCTTTTTTAGACCCAATCTGCCGGCGTGCCACTGGTAGCAATAATTAAAAGTTCCTAGAGAATAATTAAATTGGATGAAACGTGAGGTGAAATTGATCCTAAAACTGAAGAATACTCACAGCTCATCAACATTCGGGTGGAAAATCTTGTTCATGAAGCCAATAGATGGAGATTTATATGGATAAGCATCTGGAAGCTCAACACGGATTTTCCAAACCCCGCCTTCATAAAGGCCTGCAACCACATCATCACACAGAGACTATAGTTTACCAAAAGAATGACATATAAAACAACGCCAAGAGCCTCAGCTGATAAAAAGCCTAGTGGAAATATAAGAAGCAAACGCATTTCTGATCTAAGAGTAAACTGCAATAAAGTTACCACAAGGAAAACAAAGATGAAAAACTTTCCAAAGTTGAGTGATCGTTACAAAGACAGGTCTGATACCAAATTCAGTTAAACGTGCCTAATGCCCCCACATCATCACACAGAGACTATAGTTTACCAAAAGAATGACATATAAAACAACGCCAAGAGCCTCAGCTGATAAAAAGCCTAGTGGAAATATAAGAAGTGTTGATGCACAAAACCGGATGGTCTTGGAACAACGTAAATCCGACCGTGAATCTGCACAAACGCTCAAGAACACGAAGAACACAAAAGAACACAAGGATTTTATCGTGGTTCACCCCAATGTTTGGGCTACGTCCACACTGTAGTTGATTGTGTTTCTCTGTATGTGTATGGATACAAGTGTTTGGGGAAGTCCCCCGGAGAAAGGAGGGTGAGGGAGAAGGAAGGAGAGCCTCTTGAATTGTATGAGTTCTCTCTCTCTCAAAGTATGAGAGCTTTGAGCCTTGTAGGATGGCTTGGCTATTTGCCTCCCTTAGAATGAGGGGAGGAGTCCCCTTTTATAGAATAAGGGGTTCCTCCTCTTTTACAAAGTATGGGCTTTAGTGTGAGGCCCAAATATACGAGGCCCAATATATGGTACCAACAGGAGTCCCCCAAGTCTTCAGTCAAAGGAGTCTTTTGGCTGGAGACTTCAAATCCAATCCATGTACGGGCCGAAGTGGCTAGATGTCCTGAACCAGTATCAACCCAAGGTAATGCTCAACATAAAGCAATACTCGGCTAGAGGTATCACACGTTACGAGACTGCTCGGCTGGAGGCGATACTCGTTGCGAGGCTGCTCGGCTAGAGGCTATGCTCGTTGCGAGGCGGCTCGGCTCGTGGTATTCCTCATTGCAAGTATCTACTTTATGTCGACATGCACTCAGTATGAGTTGATTCTCGACATGACTCGGGTCTGCTTGTCGGGTTCGCATATTGGGTCTATGTGTCGGATCCGCGGATCGGGTCCGCAAGTCGGATCTTTGAATCGGGGCCATACGTAGGGGCATCGAGTTGGGACTATCTGTAGGGTCATCGAGTTGGGTCCAGGCACATAGGTGTCCCAATAAGCGAATGTCCGAGCAAGTGGGTGTCCGGTCAGACAAGAGATCACCACAAGCACGTGGCTCATCAGTCTATAAGTTGGTAGACCTCGTTAATCAGCAACAATGTTGATCAGTGGACCTAGTTGCTCAATAATTCCTGACAATAAATGACAGTATAATCATGAGCGTATAATGAATAAATATAATAAATACGTAAAGAAAATATGGTAACAACAATTATTTAATATGTATATTTCTTATAAGTGTAAAACCTTGCCATGCGTATTATAGCATAGTTTTAGGTTATAAAAGTGGATTAGTTCTTTTGGATTTGAGCTGATAATTTCAACATAATTTAAAATGCATGGGTGTGGCAACCCACATCCACTTTCAGCATCTGTTGTAAACCCACCATCTGGTCAAGCTTCCTCTTCATGTTTGTAGCATAGTCATGGGCGAGCCGGTGCAACTGCTTATTCTCATGCTTGAGCCCTCTAATCTCCTGTTTGAGACTCATCACTTCAGCAGCCAATGATTCAACTTGGCGGGTTCTAGCAAATAGGCGTTGGGCCATATTAGACACAGAACCTGCACACTGAACACTAAGAGCCAGAGAGTCCTTAACAGCCAACTCATCAGACCGTTTGGAAAGTAGTCTGTTATCTTTGGGAGTGAGAAGGTTCCTGGCCACCACTGCAGCGGTCATATCATTCTTCATCACAGAATCCCCAACGGTAAGAGGACCAGTAGGGGATATGAAGGATGGGCGCCATATGTTGTCTGGAGAAGGCGTGGCTGTCTCTTCTCCAAGGTTCAAGTCAAAACGACGGTCGGAGGGTCCAGACATTTTCAAATGTGTTGAAGAAGGAAGAGGTCAGACAAATCAAGATCTTAGAAGTGCAAGAAATGAGCTTCTACTACTGGTAGAGATTCAAGTATGCTGTGGAACTTAATGCCAGCCTCTATAAAAATCTGCACTCGACGGAGCTTCAGAAATCGAAGAGGCGTTTGCTTTCTCAAAAGCTGGGCTGCTCAGAGACCACGAGGGCCGATCTCAGAAATCGAAGAAGCACCTGCTTTTGCAGCCTCGTCAGCACCTGTCACATGCACAATCAGCTTTGCGGAAATTACGGGCAATCTGTCGAAGATTTCTGGTGAAGCAGAAAGCACGTGAATCTTACTGATCAATCACCGCTCTCCATATGCACCATCAACTCCTCGGGTACCACATATAACTTTGTCAAAGATCTCTGACAAAGTTTAGGCACGAGAATTTCGAAGTGCCAGCTACCCTACTATTACCCATAAGGGTAAAGGAACAGCACCACTGCTTGACAACTGGAAAGTCCCTATGTGTGTCGACCTCCGTGTTTTGTGGCAAGACAGGTTGGCAAGAACGACCAACCTTTACTCACATTCGAGAAAAGACTCCCAACATAATTACTTTCTCAAAAACCGGAGTAGCACCGCTTTCCGAATCTCGAGAGTCAGATCCTCGACGGGATTGCTTGTTCGAAAACCGAAGAGGCACAACTCTCAGAACTTCGAGAGCCAGATTTCCTTAGATAAAGCTTGTCTGTAATCTCCACACGTAATATCAGCTTTCCAGATACCACATACCACTTTTTCAAAGTGCTCTGACAAAATTAAAACACGTGAAGCTGGCAGCTCCCACTACATTGCTGTGACCAAGAAGGGTAAAGGAATAGCATTACTACTTGTTATTGGGAAATCCCTATATACATTGACCTCCCTCCTCAACAGACAGGCAAACCTGCAAAAATGCTCAACCCTTTCTCACATTCGAAAAGGCACCCTCAACATAACCTCTCGAAATACTCAGCTTTATTTCCCCCCGATAATACCTCAGCAAATAAGCCACACCAAGAACAAGAGTATCTCATATCATCAGGGTCGAAAGCAAGAGTATCCCATATCATGCTTTCTCCCTGTCTTTGTCTTTGTCCTTGTCCACACCTGCAGGACAAGGAGAAAGAGAGCAGTCAGTCGGAACCTGAAATCAAACCTCCAATTTGGAACTGACTGCCTGGAGCCTTTGCCTGGTTGCTTACTTAGCATTGCTCTCGAGTACTCATCCTCAACTGCTGTCAAGGTCACGAATTCCACCGGCAAATACCTCATGACAGTTGATCAGATATTGGCTCTTTACACTGAAGCTGCCAAGCATGGATGAGTCACTATGAAGGAATGTTCTGAAGGACCATTTAAATGCAAAGGTTGCACACCACTTCTGCCATGCAAAAGATTGAAGCAGAAGGTTCAACGGTGAGCTGAAACAGATCACTACAGCACGACACCTTTCCATACCACATTCATTATTCCGTCAACAGCAAAAGTATCCCATATCATCAAGGTCGAACGTACTCTAGATTTGATGGACTTGTTTTGACCCTCAAATTTTTGAGTCGGCCTTATACTCTGAAGGGCACCAGAAAACCCTCCAGCACAGTTCAAGAATAAGCCTGTGGAAAGTTACTTCTTCAAAAGCAAAAGTATCTCATATCATCTCTTATCCATTTGCTTCTCCTTATCCTGGCAGTTGAATGAGAGACAAGGAGAATGAGAACAATCAACCGGAAGCCGACGTCAAACCTCTGATCCTGGGTTGCTTACTTGGAAGTTTGACTGCTTACCTTGTCTGTCACCTCTTTCGGCAGATCTCCTAGCTCGGCGACTTGGGGGACTCCTACTATAGGGTTTGTATCACACTTGACTAAGCCCGAAACTACAACTAAGCTTCAAGTGAAATTGATACATTACCTTGTGCGTCAACATCAGCTAAGTACACCATTCCCGGATGGAGGAAAGGTATTTCCAGAGAAGGGCAGATGAAGATCAGACCACACTTCGGTACTTAGAAGTTTCGTGATTACTCAAGGGATTGGATCTTGCAAGTCCCCAACCGAGGAGTTTCCCTCACTCGGGAACTTAGGGGAGCACTGTTTGTACCATACTTGACCAATCCCGAAACTACCGAGCACCGGCCAACGCTATACTGTCAAGGACCCAGAAGAGTTCCCCTCCGACCAGGAGGCCAATCACTACTCGACACGTGTCAAGATTAGAAGCCAATCAGAGCGCAGCACGTGTCAACATCAAGAACCAATCATAACATGACACATGTCAATGTGACAAAGCTACAAGTTTTTCTATAAATAGGGGTCATTCCCCCACAATATTGCCTAATGCCATTTTGTGTTAAATCATTCACAAGAACTCACTAAATTGAGGGCTTGATCCTTTGTACTTGTGTAAGCCCTTCACTACTAATAAGAACTCCTCTACTCCGTGGACGTAGCCAATCTAGGTGAACCACGTACATCCTGTGTTTGCTTCTCTGTCTCTATTCATTTACGTACTTATCCTCACTAGTGACTGAAGCAACCAAGCAACCAAGCGAAGGTCACAAAACCTGACACTTTCTGTTGTACCAAAGTCTTCGCTGATTTTGTGCATCAACAAGAAGCAAACGCATTTCTGATCTAAGAGTAAACTGCAATAAAGTTACCACAAGGAAAACAAAGATGAAAAACTTTCCAAAGTTGAGTGATCGTTACAAAGACAGGTCTGATACCAAATTCAGTTAAACGTGCCTAATGCCCCCACATATAAACACATATGAAATTCTATGCAATGAAGGCGTATAAGCAGGGGTGTCAGACATTACTTTCTTTTGGACCATTGAATTCCACATTGAATTCATTTAGCCCATCGTTTATTGTCTCCACATTATAGTCACTCATCATCCTGAAAATCATTGAGAAAAGAAAGGAAAACAAAAGCATTAGAAATAGTGTTCCAAACCTCTATATCATACCAGAGATGAAGTTAGCAACCTGATTCTACATCTACCAAAGAGACTGTAGATACCCATTTGGTAAACCAAAGGGAGAAATCCAACCTTAAGAAACACAGAATGCTAAGGTTAGAGGTATTATAGTAACAAACAACTTACAACTTCATGACATCCATCTCTCTCCGCTTGCTTGGAGAAGACATCTTAGCTTATTAAAATTAAATTCCCAAACCTGTCACAAGAATACTAAAGTAATCAACTTTTCAAGGAAATAAAATTCAAAGAAATTAAATAACCATAGGGTCTGGTGGGTTAGCTAGATATATTGTATAATGGTTGAAACTAAAACAGTCTAATATACAAGAAAAAGGGTACACTGACCTTCCAGAAATCAACAAGAATCGCAAAAATAAAGGGTGATGTAGAAGCAGAAGTAACAAAAACATGAGATTTTAATCGATGTCCAAAATCAAGGTAAACACATATATGTAGATTACATAAACAAAATCAGTGATACAATCTAAACAAGTTAAAAGTCTGCTTAAACAGGGAACTGTTCTTCACAAACCATGACCATCAAAGAAACAGACCTATGTTACATTATTAATCATACCAGTCTATATATGTAGTAGTGCGTTTTGTTAGATACTTTTATACTCATTGGATGATGCAGCAGAAAGAAAGCCACCTCAATTAAAACTAACAGAGTGTCTCCGTGCGTTAGTTCAACAGAACCAATCAACAGGACAAAGTAGAAAAATAAAAAATGATATTAGAGCTTAGATTTCCACAAGTGCAACTTAAGGGTCACAGGACCATCTTCCAGATGACAGGTAAAGCTTGTCAAGACACCAACTGCCTGTGAACTAACAGCATATCCTACAAAACTAAACCACCGAGTCGAAAGCCTTCAAAGACCACTTTTTTGAAGTAATTTAAACAGGTTTTTTGTTACATATACTAACACCAAATTAGCTCATAGTACGACAATGACATCAGATTGCAGAATCTAAATGCATTGCCTGTACCTCGCCCCGAAGTACAAACTAAGACCTCTCCTTAAAATGGTCTTTGCCTCCCCTAAAGTTGGACCACAACCATAACAAGCTACCATCAAACTGACTAGCTCAACTTGGATAGTAAGTCCCTAAACAAAAAGCCAAAAGCTCGGTTCCTTGCAATTCGATATACTACATTGCCAAGCTAACATATTTTATCATCCGAAAGTTTGTTAATGCAAGCATACTTATGGGAAATCTTGGAAAATCACACTCATGGGGGGATTAAATTTTAAAATTCGGCCATCACAATATGATCAGACAAATGCAATGCCACTGTTTTCTGCATAGAATAATGAAGATACAAACTTTGAGCAATGATAGGATTCCAAAATTTCTTCTTTCCAAATTATTAGACATACCCAGTGACGCATACAACCCCCTCCAAAAATTTCACCAAAAAATTTCATTAAAATTGAAAAGATTTTGTGAATCAATTTCATAAGCGTTTGTGAAGTCTAACAATTAAAAGAAAGCTGCAATCTTTTGAAGATCTAAGACCTACCCAGAAAACCATATACAAAGAAAAGAGAAACAGTTTTGTTCCTGGAGATTGTCAATGAAAAATAAAAATAAAATAGCGAGAGAGGATCGGAACTGGGTATCTTACACGAGCTACTTATTTAACGGGGCGACCCTTTTCTTGTCCGCTTGAAGATTTTCCCGAGAAACAAACAGAAAATTGAGAAAATATGAGAAAATATGGAATTGGAGAAGAAACTACGGGTAGGAGTGGAGGGAGGAGGTGGAGGGTGAGAGGGAGAGAGAGTTGGAGGTGGGGTGAATGTCGACACGCACGTGTTCAAATGATAGTGTTATTACGTGGCAAGCAAGAGAAACAACTAGTAATAAGCCACGGTTATCATCCCTTTCAGGAACCGATAAGACTCGTAAAGGTATTTCAGTCTCGCTGACCACAAGCAAGACTTGAGGTGGTCTCAAATTAAAATTTTATGTTGTGGTTGCAAATATAAATTTGATTGATAATTACAGAGTAAAGTTTAATCACCAATTATAATGGTAAACCCAAAAACTAATTATGGTATATTGTTGTAGTTATTTATTTATTTATTTTCCTTGTTCATTGAACCATAACATTTTATTTATATGGACCGTTTTAATCACTAATTCTCTATGTTACTATTATTAATTTTTGGCAAAACTATTATTAATTTTTGTTGAAAATATTGTAATTTGTTTTATTTTGTTGAAAATATTTTAATTTGTTAAAATAGTGGGATGTGCATTTCCATTTTTTATAAAATAACTCCATAGTTAATCAAATAATTGAATGAAACCAATTACTGATTTTACTTTATTCACCACAAGATGGCCTAGTGGCTGTAAACGAATTCCAGACCCGTATTTTACATAGCACGCCCTGGTTCAACTCTTGGCGCTAGTTAATCACAAGATGTGGCCAGGGTAGGCTGAAATGCCTATATAAATCTTCTCGACCACCTAAAGGGTAATCTGATGTGGCAAAACCACCCGCTGATAGCCTAATCCATGTTTGAAGAAAGAAATAAAATGCAATTTGCCAAAAGTTTTCACATCCTCAAGTTTACATCAAGCATCCAACGCATGAGTTCAATATCCTAGTGTATAAGGTGTTAAGTTTCAACTCGTGTCTCTGGTTCGAACTCTCCCTTCCACTAAATTAATATAATAGTTTCAAATCCTCTCATCTCCTCTCCTCTCCTCTCCTCTAGTCTTACCCTTAAGATTGAAAAACGAATCATAGACGGAAACCCAAACAGTGCTACATGCGTACACCAATCGCGTGACAAACGAGCCGTGATTAAATCATTGACATCATTTAGTACTAGCAGCCACATGTGTGTTGCTTATTTAGCGCAAGCTATGCAACTCACGTAAACCTCATTTTGCTTCAACATGAATGAAACAACAATGTAATTGTAACGATGAACGAAAATAACAGAAGAAAACGATTTAACTCGATTTTTTCCACGGATTATCCCCGTAGTAGTATGCACTGCCAACCATAAGAGCCACTGTGGCACCCTGGACGACGACACGAGCTCTCATTAGCTTCTGGCCTAACTGAGAATTGCCTTGCCTGAAACTGATTAAGCCGGCGGTGAGCACGCCAGCAGTCAACATAGCCCCTGAAAAGTTTAGTAACTAACCAAAATGAATCTCATTTTAACTAACAAAAGCAACGCAGATCAAAGCTTTAACACGAAATTGGCATCATTCAATTATCAAAATGTCGCAATTACTCGTTTGTTGCTTGAAACCCTACACAAAAGAGAACATTTTTCTCTCTTTTTAAATCAAGTTCAAGGGAAAACTGGAAACACAAGACGATCCATAAAGCTCTGAAACTTAAGAATACACTCTGAACCGGACTTCCTAACTACAACTCATCGTCGTCTTCCCAAGCTGAAGGGTTTCTCCAAAGCCTAACATCCCAATGCATCTCAGTCTTTTACCCACACCATAAAATCCAGCATACACACCGCTCTAATTCATCTCTACTACCACAGATTTCTAGGACCGGAGTGTCTTCAATCCCGCAAACTAAGTAGCATCTCTCCATGGCACCCTTCTCGGATTCTCTTAAAATTTCACACAATATCTCATTTGTATGATAAACAATGGTCTACACCTGATTGAACATCCAGTTCCGACTACACTAAAAACGCCAGTCTCATAGCTAACCTTCACTCGGTCAGCACACAGCACCTAACAAGGGAACGGTATCATGTCAAAATAACCGTCGATGTCACATTGTCAAATGAAGACAATGTAATATTTACCAATTACCGTCGATGTCAAACTAAGACGTTGCCACTGCACCGGATACCTAGAAAAATGCCGGCAGTCTTCTCCAAATTCACATACAGGATACAGCAGACAGAATTCACGCGAGAAGATTGAAATTAAACTAAACACTATATTTTATCCAAATGGCCAACAATTCGAAAAACCAGACTAAAGTAGCTCCTACTTTAACTTCCACTAACCTAACCCAGATAAGAATTAGCTCTAATTTCCACTAGCCTCTCAGCTGGAGCAATGAAGTTCAAATTAAATTTCGAAATATATAATTTATATATTTCGAAAGGAAAGTGTTATTAGTACTTCAAAAATCTCATTCCTCACACCTCATAAGTGCATTTTCCTTTCTAATTATATAAAGTTTAGAGTGGCAAATGAGATTTTTGAATGGTTAATAACAATTCCCTTTCGAAATTTAATAATAAATTAACGCATACCCTTCCATCAAAATTTTATTATCCCAAAAATTAATAACCTTTTTCAAATTATTAGTTCTATAAAATCCCAAATCCACCAAAAATTCAAACAAGCACGAAACTTTACGATCACATATGCATACCCCAACTCCTATCAAACCTCAAAGTTTGAACAGAAACAATCACAGAAAACAAATTGCAGAAAAATAGTGAAGGAATCGAAGTGGGAAATTACCAACTGGTACCCAAGGGTTCCGGACCCGCTTCTTCTCCTCGTAGAATACTTCTAACGTGGGGTCCACCTCACTCATCTTCTCCATACACAGAACGTGAGAATTTCAGACAATGGTCAAATCAATTTGGGATCGCGAACCCGAAATTGGAAACCAGAAGAAGGAGAAGAACATGTAAGCAGAGAGTGAGAGAAAGTGGAGGAAAATGGAATTGGAAGTTGTGGTGGTGGTAGATGCGGGTCGGTGGCGATAAATGTGGGTCGGATTCGCGGGTTATTGGAGTTAGAGGCTGAGCCCGATTGATAGCAACCGATAACCCATGCAGATCCGCCCAACTCATGCCTATGCCCAAATAGGGCCCACGTCTCTAAATTATTATATACTCCCATCAAAGCACAAAAGTGTTTTACTTTTTACTCAAAGAAAAGAAGATATTTTTTTAGGAAAACTAATGAAAAGGGCTTGAAAACTTTGAGTTTTAATGATAAGGACAAAATAAAGGGTAAAGTGAATAGTACCAAAATTGACTTTTTAGTGTAAAAATGTGGTTTTTCGTTAAAGTGAACAGTACCAGATGCTTTTCGTTAAAATTCCCTATTTTTTTTATGTTAGTTTTTGTTATTTGATCTTCTTCATTTTAGTTGATTTAATGGTCGGAAATTTAGAGTAGTGTTTGGAACCCTTTTTTTTCGACATTTAGGCACCAAAATTAATTTTGGTGTGATTGTTCCACTGCTGTCAATTTTAATTGTGAGTTTCATTAATCATGTTACGTAAAGCGTAAAAGTGATTAAATTTTCAACTGCGTCATTTTATGTTAGGTAGACGATTTTAAAATAAGAATTGTTTTTACTAAGGTTCGTGAACACAACAAAAGTAAATTGTAATTTTGATGTGTTATCGAATGTTAACCAATCCTATTCTTACTTACAGGTAGTCTAGGGGTTATGAAGTCATAATATTGTTATCGAATATTATATTAATAAATTTATACATGTAGTCATAATATTGATATGAAAAGTCATAATTTTGTTATACTCTTGTCATGCATGTTGTTCTCGTGATATAATTGTCTTTAAAAAGATAACCCCATGTACCCACTTACAATAAGGAAAGTTTTTCACGAAATTTTGGTGAAAATTGAAAGAGGTAGTGGTGGTAGTAGTGATACATTTAATAGGAATTTGCACCAATACTGTCTGGACTTTTACGCTATGTTTGGATGAGGGAAATAAATTTGGAATTTGGATAAAAGTCAGAATTTGTAAATTGACATGCACGAATTCTCTTGTTTGGATTCATAAATATAGAAATTTAGAATTTTCGCGTGAAAAAATACTTGGAATTTGGGACCTCCAATTCCCAAGTTTAAATTCCATATACATAGGTGTCATTTCCCAATTTATATGATTGAAAGCTTAAAAATAATAAATTCCGTATTCAATTCCATTGTTCTTTTAGGTTAACCAAACAATAAAATTCACAAATTCTAGAAAATAAAATCTCGTCAATTCAATTTTCATCATTTCAAAATTCATTGATAATCTTAAATTTCTTCATCCAAACACAATATTACTGATGTACATATTTACCACTTGAACTTTTATTTTTTATTTTTTATTTTTTATTACCACCTAAACTTTGTATTATGTTGCGCACACCTATAAATAAATATTAAAATTTGTAGGTGATAAATGTGCACACCTACAAAACTCCAAATAGTGTTTATGCAAATTCTCCCACATTTATATATAAAGTCAATGCAAAAGGTCAATAGTATTTTAGGAAAATTAATGAAAAGGACTTGAAAACTTTGAGTTTTAATGATAAGGACAAAATAAAGGGTAAAGTGAATAGTACCAGGATTGACTTTTTAGTGTAAAAATGTGGTTTTTCGTTAAAGTGAACAGTACCGGGTGCTTTTCGTTAAAGTTCACTATTTTTTTTTGTGTCACCAAATTGCAACAAAAATATTTGGACAAAAATATCCCCGGGACCAAAAACTTCAAAGGCATCCCAAAATAATGCATCAAATATTGCAGGGGTATTTTCATCATTTTAATAGTATTTTTTTAATAATTAAATTTTTTGTGTTTTTTTTATTAGTACCTCATAATAGAATAGTAATAATGTGATTCAATTAGTTATTCATTAAATATTATTTTCTCTATTTTTAAACACGTTCAAATCATCTTAAGAGGCGTGTAATGTTGGTTATAAAAAATGTCTTTCGCACGCGGATAATAATATGATTAAATTAGTTGTCAAATGATTTTTAACAAACGATATTATCTACACTAAGAGGGAGGGGATAGACTTAGCCTCATAATGAATTAGTAATAATGTGATTCAATCAGTCGTTTATTAAATATTATTTTCTCTATTATTAATGTAAATTCTATAGAAACTGATTTTATTATGTGAATTCAGCTGCTTTAATTGATTTACGAGAAATTTCTTCTAGCATGTTATTCATTTACTTCAAATATTTAACTTCTTTCTTATCAATTTATACATATAAATACATTTAATATGGGTAAGTCTCGTGTGGCAGGCTGCGCATACATGAAGGCTAGTTTAATTTATGTGCAATTGTTCTGCTTTGACCAGAGGGTTGCACTTTTCAGCTACTCTCTCGCACATTTCAGCTACTCTCTCTAAAGACTGCCATTTATGTGGAGAGCGAGAGAGAGAGAGAGTTCAGTGGAAAGAGAGAATCCATGGGGATGAAGTCAAGAATATGGGAGTTGCTGCCGTTCGCGGCGATGGTGGTGGTGGAGATTCTGGATGTTGGATTAACCACACTGAGCAAAGCAGCCATGTCCGGAGGAATGAGCCACTTTGTCTTTGTTGTCTACTCCAATGCTCTTGCAACTCTCATCCTCCTCCCTTCTTCTTTCATCATCCACAGGTCCCTCTCTCTCTCTCTACTCTCTCTCTAAATTGACCAAATTGTTCTGATTAATTTCTTGTTATTTGCAGAAACAACAGGCCACCACTTACTTTCACTGTCCTCTGTAAATTCTTCCTCCTCAGCCTTGCTGGGTATGTGATTTGATCTAAAAATCCCCACTTGGGATGTGGGTTTGCTGGGTTTCATCTAATCTTGTTTCTTTGGCAGGATAACTGTGATGCAGAATTGTATATTTACTGGGGTAAGCTACAGCTCCCCCACTCTTGCATCTGCCTTGAGCAACTTGATCCCGGCTTTCACTTTCCTTCTTGCTGTTGTCTTCAGGTTGCTCTCTTTTCCTTACACCAGATTAATGAACTACTTTGGTGGCCTCGTTTAGTGTCGATCGGAATGGATTGGATAAATCACTAGATTCAATGTATTGTTGAAGGAAGACACAGAGTCCCAATATTTGTCGAAGTTTAAAGTAGTAGAAGAATAATATTTCGTGAAGGAAACTAGACGAATTAGTCACGAAGGAAACTTATCCCATCCAGTCTTGCCATTTTTCGTGAAGATTGGAAGGGATAAGTTTCCATTTATTGAAATAATGTCCTTCTTCTCCATTTATTGAGAACTTAAGATTTTGTGTCTGCTTATAGAATGGAGAAGTTAAATTTGAGAAGCTTAAGAAGCCAGATCAAAATTCTGGGCACTCTGGTATCCATCTCAGGAGCATTGATAGTCACTTTCGTTAAAGGTCCTCCAATTGTGTTGTTTCCAATCAAACCTGTTGACTCTTCTCCATTAGGCCCATCTGTCTCTGATGTGTTTCCACTGAATAATTGGGTCACTGGAGCCCTTTTTATCACAACAGCTTGCTTATCTCTTTCGATATGGAACACCGCTCAGGTTAAAATTTGATGTGCAACTCTTCTTTTCGATTATGAACTTTGTACGGAAATGGCACTGATGTTAGTAATTCATGTTGTGTCTGAAGGCAGCAGTTCTTAAGGGGTACCCATCAGAGATGACCATAGTCTCCTTCTATTGCTTCTTTGGGACCATTCAATGTGCAATACTTTCTTTCTTTGTAGAAAGGAATGCAAGTGCCTGGGCACTTAAACTTGATTTGGAGCTCGCCGCAATAGCCTATTCGGTAAGCGCATAATTAGGATGGGAGGCCTCCTGGGAAGTTCTCGTGTTGCATCCTTTTTTTTTTTTCTTAACCGAACAACAATAGAGCGAATTATGATGTGCAACTTTTTAACCATGTGTGCAGGCTGTTTTTGGAAGTGTAGTAACATTCTCTACTCAAACATGGTGCATAAGAAAGAAAGGACCTGTGTTTGTGGCCATGTTCAAGCCTTTAGGGATTGCCATTGCTGCCTTGATGGGTGCCATCTTCCTCGGTGACACACTCTATACTGGAAGGTAACAAAACCCCTCTCCTTACTGGCATTATCTTATTATTCCGTTTTTCCTTTTTACAAGACGATATATATTCTAAACAACTCTAATTTAGGGAGAAGGGAATTCAAATTTAAATGATAGGATAGGCACTTTTGTCTAGTCAATTGGTTTAGTTCACATCTGCAATTATGTTTCTGCTTAGTAAGATTTTGGTATGGCACAACCCCTTGATCTTGGGGATGTTTATTAGATTTGGCACCTTCATGGAGAGCAAGCGTTTCCTTAATTAGTGGGATTTTCCGCGTGGACTAGTGAGGCCAAATCTTTGTCATTAAAAATACAATTTTCTAATTGATCTTGCAAATATTTTAGATCTCATGTAAAGCATTGCACTAAATGGAGAAAATTGGAGCATTAGTTCTTAATTTAATCCAATTGAAACGTTAGTTTTTGAATTTTAAATTTGTTAAAGATTTTTTTTTTGGGTCAAAAATTCGTAAGAATTGGTCAAGGATATAGTAGAACGGTCATGTTTGTCTTGTTTGTGTCATACTTATCTTAACGCATTGTTTGTGTCAAACTCGTGGGTCTTAACAGATGACCCGATAACGACCTGACTTGTTAAAAGGTTGACCCGAAATCTGTTATTTTTGTGTCGTTTCGTGTTGGGTTAACCGGTCATGCAAGAACTTGTCATGCCTAGACCCAAAAAAAGATCGTTTTCGTGTCATAACTATAATTTTCATGGGTTTTTAACAGGTGACCCGATAACGACCAAACTTGTTAATGTATTTTTAAAGGATAACTCTAAAACGACCCAACTTGTTAACGGTTGATTCCAAATCTGTTATTTTCGTGTCGGGTCAACGGTCGTATAAGAAATTTTCAGGCCATGAATGAATCAAACAGAAACAAGGAACGAATTAAAAATGAGAATGTAAGAGGAAATACATGTGGGTTATAATTATCCTTGCTAAAACATGGTAGTTGTATTCTTAT